GTCGTGGACGAGGATGCGGACAAGCCGAGGCCTAGGCATTCCGTCACCTCGCGGATAGTCGGGTTATGCGAGCTGAAGACGGAGATCCATCGAGCGCGGTCCCACCGTCGCACGCCGTGCTCGAGATCGAGGGCTAGGTTGTCCTTTGAACTCATGGCCGCTGCATGGGCGATGGTAATGGTGGTGGTAGTAGTGGTTGGTAGTAGCCGGGGGGCGAGCGGTTAGACAATTGAGAGCGAGAGAGAGAGAGGGTGTAGGAAAACAATGATGGAAACGTAGACGGTTGGAGATGACAGTGGATGGGGGCGCACGAGCACTCAGCGGAACGTGTGTGATGATGGGAAATGGACTGGGGTGGGATGAGATGGGGGTGTGATGTGCCGGGCAATGGTAAAAGGAGTACGTTCCACTAGGCCGTCTTGGAACAAAGTTTTTTTTTATTGCCAGTTGCCTCTTCCAAAAAACTTTGTTCAGCGTCGGATGCCGATCGTGCTACCTCAGCAAACAAAGAAGATAGGCCCAGACCCCTGTAGATGCTGGCGCCAGGGTGATGAGCAACTAAGCGGAGTGACTTGCTGGGGTGGGTAGGGCAGTGTGTGTATTAGTGGATGGGGTGACAGGATGACAGGATGACGACGATGATGGATGATTGATGATGATTGATGGCGGGTGACGTGTAAGAAAAGCGACAGAGGGTATGCAGCGTCGAAAAGATAGGCAGAAAAGAGGAGCGTGTCCAGTAGCGAGACCATAAGGTGGCAGGGGCGGCATCAAAAAACATGTGCATAGGTTAATACGCGTCCGTTAATGACTCGCATGCCAATAATTCCCCATCAGGTGTAAATGATAGTACCGCCCGGCCCTCATTCGTCCAGGCGAACCAAGGCCCGCCCGCCCTTGCTCGTTCATAGCAATAGTACGACGCTTGCACTATGGGCTTCATCGTCACTCGCTGCCTTATGCTAGTCATCTGTACCTATTACTCACTCGTCCCCCTCCCTCCATTGCCGTGTACCCAATCCAATACACCAACCCCCAATTACACCGGCCCGTAACCAACGCGCGCGCATTGGTCGCTAGCCAGCAAAAAAAAAATCTCTTACTCGCCTAGGCCAAAATACCCGACCGACCCTCTTTACTCAAACCAAGCACTAGCCGCCATGTGCTATCAGCGAACAGGCGGCACTACGACGCTTTGCGCATAGCTCGACATGGTCCTTATTGGCGTCGTGGTCAGGAGTTACAATTACACCTTGCATCTATGACGCGCTCGTCCCCTCGACTCCCTCGCTTTTTTCAGCCTGCCTGCCCATACAACTCGTACTCTGCCGTCTTTGTCGCCCACTTATTGTATCTGTTTTTGATCAGCACCGCCCGCTTTCCCACTTTCTACCTATCTCTCTCTCTCTCTCTCTCTTGCCCCGCCCCCTATCCGCTATCCGACCTTGTCTCTCCCTAAAATGGTAGCACCACTCAACTCACTCAACTCAACTCAACTCAACTCAGCATGCACACACACATACACACACCAGCCACGAGGGAAAGAAACCCGTTATCGCATGGCATGACATGACGCGACCCCCCGATTGTGTGGCGCCCTCCCTGTCGTAAATCTATCTACACGAAGGGGGGGCCAGTGCCCATGAGTAGGCATACATTACTTACTTAGGCCACATGGAAGATATGCGCGACGCTCGTCCGTCATGGCGTCCCTAAAATAGGAACCTGGCATTACTTAGGCAAGATTTACGGCGCGCTGCCCAAAAAGCCAAAGCCCCACGCCCCTTGCCCGCAGGTTACATTAAGCGAGAGTGTACTGCGAAGTGCTGCCGAGCCGTCACCCATTATATGCCCGGATACTGGTTGCCGAACTATTGATCGCTGCATACCTGCGCTTATCCTTGGCAGTACGTGAGACGGCCGTTTTTTTTTCTTTATTTTAAATTTATGCCTATTCGTCGCGTGACTGCCGCCTGCACGTTGCACTCATGTAGGCTGACGGGCCCAAAAAACGTAATCGACAGCGGGTGGGCATGGAGCTGCGTGTCTACTACAACGTCTGTGTCTGTGTGTGTGTGTGCATGTGTGTGCGTGCAAGTGGCACACCTGGCCTAGTCTAATCCTACACGATCCTGTAACAAGATGAAGTAGCTGAAACCAACCCCTGCGGCTGACCTACCCCAATAGACAATTTTCCCGAATTGGGTCGCCTAGTGCGCCTTTTAAGTCTGGCCGATCGATCGATCCCTTGCCTGCTGCTGAACGCCTGTAAGATCCACACGGCGTACAGAGTTTACCACTATACTCCAAGCCCACTGTACTATATTATATGCGTGACAAACAGAGACGCAATGTGACAACTTCCGACGCCTATTATCCGGCATGCCACAGCATACCCTTGCCGTCTTCCTCTTCTTCCCGTCGGAAATTCTCCAGGTGTTCGTGCAGCCAAGCCATTGTCGCTGTAAACTCTATAGGCTTCCACTGCATCTCTACCGCATACTTCTCTCCTGCTAGCACGACCAGGGCTTGTCGCAGTAGCTCGTCTCGATCCACTGCAACATTAGGACTGAGTCCGAAGCCTTGGCCTACATCCTCAAAGTTTGCAATAATCGTTTGTGTACAGCCCATCAGAGTGCGGTGTTGTTGGATGCGTCGTTCGATTTCCGCCGTGGTATGGCCTTCTGCTGACCACCCTGTACATTTACAGCCTTTGTCAGTGCGGGCCCACGTGCGGATAGGGCTAGAGATCGTCAACTTACGTTCGTTTGCACGTTGCAGAGCTGCCAAATGCCGCTTGAGTTCCACCCATGTCAAAAACGCCCTTTCTCTCGCAATGAATACCGGAATGTTCTCAACCATTTTCTGATAATCAGCACGAACTCGCTCTCGCCATGTCTTTTCCAGTTGATTGAGTAGTACTTCCTCGTCTACCGCAACTCCATGCTCTTCCCCATAGACGTATTGTCGTAGCGCCCGCAACCCGTCGTAATCTAGCCCGCGGTAGGGTATACTGTTGTTTGGCTGGGGTATCTCCTCTGCTCCTGCATCGTCCGAGCGGAAGGTTGCTACCAGCTTCGCAACTTCGACGCTGATTTGCCGATCGACCGCTGCTTGGTTTGCGTTTGCGACCTGCTGGTCCACGGCCCCTTTGCTTTCTGCGGGGTGCGTGCCATGGCCGTGAGCAGGGCCTGCCGACGTAGTACTAAGATCTCTCGGTCTGTTACCGTCTACAGCTAGTCGGTTCCAGACACCTTCAACAATGTTTTGTCGCTGTTGCAAGGTTTGCGCCTGATATGCGTTCGCGGCTGCACAAGTGGTATAGCCGTTAGGTACACACTCACGGCCGTTGATGGATGCAAACTTACCTGCTTCGCGGGGTCCCATAATTGGACTTTCACCCGATTCTGGGGGTGTGAGCATTGCACTAGAGGAAATCGGACTGCCACGTGATACTGTATCACCATCGTGCAGGACTGAGTTGGGTGCCAGCGCAACAAAAGATGCTGGTGTTCCGCCGTCTTGCTGACCAGAGAACTCAGCCTCAGCTCGCGCTTGTCGGTTCTCTGCCTTTTTCCTCCTTTCCCGATCGAGCCGCTCTCGTGCAAGGATGACATTGCACGCTTTCAGTCCAATCCACCAGTGGAGGAGCTTGTGAATTCTAGGCGATCCATCAGCAATCGTTCGTGCCTATCCGAGTCTTCGGTCTGCACAGCCAGCCTGCTTACAATTGCCTATCCTCTTCATTCTCAAAATAGAGATCCTTGGAATAAAGCCCTTCTTCCACGCCAGGCTCGTTGGCAGTGAGCAGATGATCGCGCTCTCCCACTCTCCCCCAAACCTTCATCCCGTGCTTTTCAAGTAGACCGTCAACCTCCTCTTTTAAACTTCCCTCGTCGCTGAGGAACTTCATCAGCTCATCGGGCTCCTTTGGAAGCGTAGACACAACGTCTCCCATATCTGCCACGAGTTCGCGCACCAGGGCCGATTCAAAATTGGTTTTGCCGCGCTTATTGGAAGACCACTTTGCGCGTAATCCAAGGCGCTCAATAAGCTCATGCATGCGAACTTTGGACCGATTTTTCATGATATCGAGCCAGTCTTTCGAGGTCGCATAAGTGATTGCCGAGCTGTCCATGTTTGCGACGGTTGCATGAGATGTCAAAAGTCGTCAGGAAATTTGGTAAAGAAGCGCGAATCCAAGTGCTGGTTTTCCTTCGGTATGATTACATGCAGATGCGCTCAGGACGGTAACGGCAAACTGTAGATACTAGCAACAGGCCCGCTCAATGGATATATGACAGCAACTAGAGAAGAACGCAAGGCAAGCGAGCGACAAGGGGAAGATGGTAGGGAGATGCGATTGATGGCAAAAGTACAGATGAAGAAACCGTAGCGCCGCGTACGGAAAGCTCGTTTACAGGGTCAGCCGCGCCAGGCCGCGAAGGGTAGGCGGAAGAGACAGGCAGTTCTTGCTCATTGGCCAACAACTTCGCGTTAGCACGACGATCATCCAAAGGCTTACACAATGTTGTGCAGATTATTATTCGACCGCCAAGATACGATTCAGTCCTTTTCGCTGCTGCAAAGCTGCATGGACGGTCCGTATGGCTATCTTGAGATTCTCCGGAGTCTGTTGTTCCACCGGTGGTGTTGTACAATGCGCGTACAACGTGGGGATATCCCATTGTAGGATTCTCAAGAAAACCTTGGACTTACTTACATCCTCAACAACCGAGACAGATGCCCGAGCAACAATGAACCGTTTCGTGTGAAACTCTGTACATATAAGCACCAATATGCATCCACACCTACAGTACGCTGTTGTCCTCCCACCATTTGGGAACTGGGTTCCCGCTTGTTTTGTTGAGAACCGATCAAAAGATAAGCATTGGGTATATGTGATGCGACGCACAAACGCAACAAAAAAAAAGTACACATTCCCAGAATGATCTCCGTTCGATAACGACTCCGTTGCAGACAGCATCAGAAGAGCCTGATCAGCTCAAAGACCTGAGTTCGACATAAACTCGACCATGCGGATTCGTGCTCCAGAGAGGGGCTTCTGCGAGTATAGTTTGCAGTCGGTCAAATGCAGTCTCTTTTCCTTCACGAGCAATCAGCGCCTTGTTCATCCCACCATGACTGTCAAGGCTGCAGCACAAGCGCCACGTCTTTGTTTCCTTTAGAATCTCAGCAATCGACGGGATGGACTCTGTATCTTCTTCCAGCAGTTGGAGTAGGCCTGCGAAGGTTTTGCATTCACCAATCGTGTGGACGAATTCATATTCTAGACCTCGGTCTTTGACGAACCAAATTATGTATGTGCGGTCAGCTTGTTCCTTGGTGAGCTCCGGATATACTGTCTCGGGGGATAAATGGCGTTTCGTGACTCGCGGTTGTAGGTTCGAGGTGGTTGTTACTGAGTTCTGGGCAGCAGAATCAAGGGACGTCTCTACGAAACCTTCAGTACCTGGATATGCAGGGCTATCATAGTCACTAAGTTTCTCCTCCTCTGTGGTATGGGACCTGCGTGAGGTCGTTGTGCTACTTCTATGTCGCTTTGTTTTGATTGGCTCATCTTCTTGCATATCGTCTTCTCTGATTTCTCCCTCTTCTAGCGTTCGCGTTTTTGGCGTCGAAGTGCCTGTCATACTCGATGCGGAAAAGGCTGAATTATCATATATGTAATTTGAATCCGACACTGACCGCTTGTTCACCTCCACGGCGGCCTTAATACGCTCTAGCATTGGTAGTGCGTCGAGAGTTGTAGTTAGTACATCAGCACTACTGTCAAGATTGCGGAGCGTGAGCACTTCGTAGTCGTTGGAAAAAGCTTGCCCATTATCACTTTCAATGATCTCATAAGGCCGGTAGGATTGAAGGCCATGCAGACTTCTATCATGCTTCTGTGGTAACATGATGGTGAAAACTCCAGCTTCATCGTCACCATCAAGCGGCATGATTACCAGTTTCTGCACATCGTTAGTTTATCTTTACAAGATGTACGTATCTGATAGCTGAAGAACGATTGCCTAAAGCGGCTAGTACGTCCGGAGCATGACTTACGGACTTGCCGTAGAACTGAACTTCTCTCAACTCGAACACCTTTGAAGTACCCGAAACGCATCCCCGACAAACAGCATATCGATTCTGTCCTACCAAGCCCTGTGTTGCTTTGGGATATGGCGCAATGAGCTTGGCACAGTTGGATCTCAACATATTGAATGAAGGAAGTCCCCGAAACGACTCCTTATGTCGGTCTGGCGCCAGATAGCCAATCCAAACGCCTTGAGTGAAGAGTTGATGGACGGAGTAGAAGTGACCATTTGGGTCAGCATGAGGATTGAAGCATTTGAGATAACGCCTGGAAGTTTGCGAGCTGGTTGGCGGACTCTGCTGAACTGTCTTGGCTTCTCCACTGCTTTGAGATCTTCCTAGTTCGAGCAGGCTAGGTGGTATGGCTGGCCAAGGCAGCTCGTTAGTCTGAAAACCGCTCGTTTGATCGAGAGAGCCTGCTTCTGCTGCTTGACTCCCTTCATGCGTGCCATCTTGTGGCGTGGAAGGGGCTTCATCCTTGACCTCAGAGTTGCCGCTACTGCCCTGGGGCTTGCGAGTGCGACTAACGATACCCGACAGTATCTTTAAGTTGTACGTGTTGACATTTGTTCGATTTCGTGACGGCCGCATCGAGTACTGAAGATGTAGGATACCCGCAGGTTGCATCAAGCGGTTGTCTTGTGTTAGTCTGTGGGGATGGTGTGTAGTGTGTAAAGTTGGGCAAGGCTGAAGTTGAGCAAGCGCCCTGTGTTTGTGGCTGCCTAGGCTAAATATACCCTTACCACAAGTGGTGGACCCTGATTCGCTGTTTGCCTTTGCAACAAACAGCTAATAACAGTTTGCCACCGTCGTTAAGGCATTGTAAAAGCTTTCGAGCCATCTCCTCGTTCTTACTGTACAGCTTGTGAGGCGCGGCGATCTTCTCATATCCACAGTGAAGGTGCCATATAGTTTTGCGACCCTACTTCACCTACACAACTTTCCCTAGCGTGACATAGACGTATCTAGTTGAGGCTAGTTACACGTGATCCCGCTTGTTATTGAGCTGCAAGGTAGGGCACGGTAGCGTTCAAATTCATACTGTACATGTTTGATGTTTGTAGCTTTTCTCATACCAAAGGCGAAGTCCAGTCCGCCCTTCCTGAATCACTCTGTCTAAGTGGGTTTGTCGTTGTCATTAATCCAAGAATCATCTATTGAAGATGCGTATTGCCACCATATTTAGTACTAGATGGGGCTCCATCATCATTTTATGCGTAAATGTCCAATTTCTTTATTATTACATGCAAGTATTCCCTTCCCATTATTACAGTGAGATTCTGACACAACTGAACTTAGGCATAGTCTTTAGGTAGACTAGGACACAGATCAAGAAATGTTGCAGTTGCTTCTAGAACGATATTCGTATATGTATAGAGGAAGCTCAGCTTCCTGTCATAAGATTGTTATTTTATCCGAAACGTTAAACAGTCGATACATGCCTTGCATGCATGTATCGACCGTCTAGTATGCCCATTTTTTTTGAGCCAAAGAAAAAGAATATTACCGCGCAGGTTTCCTATCATCGACTAATACACTCCAATTCTTTTGCACATTGATGCCACCCGCGGCATTTCTTTGCTCGCTGTCTTCGCTCACACGCGCTAACTCAATGTCAACATTGTTTTTGCCCAAATCTTCGTTGACAAATTTAGTCTCCTCTTCATCGTCCATTCTGCTGATTCCGGCTAGGGTGGAGAACAAACCACCTGTTGCGCCCTTCTTGCGTGGCCGAGAGCCAGACGAGCCACCTGATGCGTACTGATGTTGCGCTCCTTGTGATTCGACATCGGAAGGTCTTGATGACGAGAAGGAGAAGAGTTTGTTCAATCCTACTGCCTGGAACACGGGCTTCAGACTTGGTAGACAAGCACACGCCAGGCCAATGTTGACTTCAACAATCGACCACACGATGATCTCGCGGAAGTTGTACGTGACATCACCCTGCGTGGCGATGGGAATTTGTAGAAAGATGATGAGGCGCACGAGCGATACGACGGCGATGAAGGTGCCGAGGGCGAACATGCCTGCGAGCACAATGCGCTGCGCAAGGGGCGCGTGGAGTCGCCACACGTGTGGCAGGGGCATAAGGACGATGACCAAATCGAGGCAGACGTTGGGGACAGAGCCGCCAAGGTAGATGGCTCGGATGGAAATGCATTTTGCGCCTGTTATAGTGATATCCCAGGCGGCTTGGACGGGAATGCAGTTGAAGATAACACAGAGCAACTACAAAGATGAAATTGTGGTTAGTTCTCAAATTCCATTATGTGACATTGAAAAATGACATCTGCTACGAGGAATTGTATGACTTACGATGGCGGTACACCAGGCGATTGCTGCGGCAGTGACAACGTAGATTGTGATACGAGCCTTAATTTCGAACAGACGCCAGTAGAAAGCTAGCACGGAGAGCTTTACTGACGTGATACACAGAGTGTACAGTATGTTCCCCACATAGATGTTCCTCAGGAAAGCGATGATTTGGAGTGGATTTTCAATTTCGTAGATGTGTAGACCCAGCGAGTCTCGCATACCTACAAGACAACCCGATCAGTTCTTGCTCACTCTCAACCGAGAAGAAAGGTAGGAGACGAAGACTTACCGATTATGCATATGTAAAAGAAGCCGTTCGCGAGGGCCAAAGCAACTATCGACATGTAGTCGTCCCATTGCACGTTGCGCCATCCCCGGTGACGGTAGCGGCACCAGATCTTCAGAGGCACGAGAAACATGATGAGGATGTATGTGAATATAGCGACTCCATCGAGGCGTTGGCGGAAAGCCGCTCTGTGATCCTGTCAGTCACACGACTCCCCAGTGTAGTGTTCTCTGGTACAGGTATTGCCAGGGACCCATAGCGTGTGCCTGGTTCCATCGTACGATATGATCAGAGTCTGGGGGTAGGTGAGATTAGATCTCGTCGACAACTTACAGGCTTTCTTGAGGATCGATGATGGGCGCCATGGCTTAGGATACTTGCCCGGGTTTTTTTTGTGACGAGCAACCTCGAATGCTTTTCTGTGCGCAAAAGAGAAACAAACGAGAAGGCGGCGGCGGCGATTGAACACCAAGTACGTACCCTTCAGATCTGCGAAAAAGTGAATGGTTGCAGATGTTATACTAAGGAGAAGGCCCTCTTGGAGGCCTAAACATACGCCCCCAGTATATTCGTGGATCGCGCCGCTCCAGCCACTCCCGACTGTAGTGCCCCTGGGGGCCACTCCATCCATATGACAGTTTTTTGCTTCTGAAGACCCATAATGGACCAGTGCGAATAACAAAGCGGCAATCCTCACTACGCTTGCGGCTGTTGGGCAAACTCTAACTAACGGAAACCAGGGCTTAGACCCCCGCGGGAGCGCTAGCAAGTGGGCCTTGTTTAGAGGACGTGGGCTGGAGCCTCACAAGGGACGGAGCCTTGCCTTTTGCACTCGGACGAGCATGGATAGCGGCCTCCCGACAGGCTGGAATGTGGATTGACGTAACCTGCGGGTGAGAAATGAGCATCTGCTCCACCACGAGTATGCATGGTTGATACACACTTGGTAAGAGATTCGTGCCTGCGGAAAAGGAAGCTGGGCATCTCCCGTCCAAAAGAAAATACATGCACACTCCCAATGTTAGCTGAGCGATATATTTGGATGCACATGTGTGACTGGCATGTAGTGTCGGGTGTGAATGAACTAAGTGCCTGCATGGTAGTGCCTCGGTGAGGAGCACAGAGAATGCGTTTACCTTGTGTACAGCTGATATCTGATGGCTGTTGTATGTGAGAAGCACATGCAGCGATTCATGAAAACTTCTTCTCAGTGGGGTCAAAGTTGCGAACCGGCTGCCCTCGGCACTTGTGTGAGGCTTGCCTCCGTACAGCCGCATAGCACAGGGGATCAGTTTCCTCTTCTGTGGCGAAGGAATGCCTTGGCCACTCGTTTGGTTCTCCTAATCTTCCTCACAAGACGCTGAGTCAGAGTCAGCCTCGGCAGTTGCATAACAGCCAATTATCGGGGAACGATGCAATTTGCGTCCAGGTGCTCGTGATCGGTGTGTGTAAGCATCGAATATCTTTTTTTTTATTTTACCGCGAACGCTGATTGCAAGGTGAGAATCAAGACGCGACTCAATTGGTATAAAAGCAAAGATATACTAAAGTAAAGATGCATGAGTAGTGTGTGTGTGGCGTCTGGGCCCAATGTTGTCAGTCAGAGTATCCGAGATGCCAATCAAGCCTTCAGTGTGCGCCCTGAGCAGGGGCGCGGAAGCGGAACAAAAATGGCGTGCAGATTCCCATCCGCTTGGGGTCGGGGTCACATGAGCCGACAGCACATCTAGTCCCCTTTTGGGCTGCACGTTGGAAGCGAGAACGTCAAAGGAACCTATGATAGGCTCCATGTACCCATTGCCTCTCCCACCCTTCATGTTTCGAAAACGACCGGGGGCAATGCAATTCTTTCCTTTCGGGTAAATCGAGGGGCCCACCACCCTTGCCCGTGGGACAGGTTTAGTTTTTCTGAATATTCAATTTACGTGAATTTTAGCTTACTAAACACGGAGTTCCCATTTCCAGATAGATGATTAGTGGCACTGCAGAGAGGGGGATTACATCTGCAAGTAAGACGTCTGTTACTTTGTAAACATGTAGTCCTATTACCCGAGTAAGTAGTAGGTATGTCATAGTGTATAGTTGGTGTGGCAAGCACCGCCGGGAGCGGCTCGCTGACCCCATCTGCCGATTCAGCCGAAAAGCAAAACTCCACTTCTTTGTTGGATGTTGGCTAAGGTCCGCGGCTTCTCTTCATGCCAGAGTCTTTTGTAGACTAATCTGCTGGGCGCTAATAGACAGGCGGACACTAGAAAGGAAAGAGTAAGATAGTCCGTACTAGACGATTAGTCGGCGAACATGAGATACATATCTACAAGGCCCTTCATCCTCTGTCTTGTTCTCGGGTCTTTGAGCTTTCTTTTTCTGCCCAAATCAAGTTGCAGGTGCATGATGGTCAATCTAAACATCGTCAGCGGGGTCTCGTACCCGGGCCTATTTGCCTTCTGTTGCTCCTCGGCGTTAATCTACATCTTGGTAATTGGAATTTACCGCCTGTACTTCCACCCACTCGCCTCGTTCCCCGGTCCGTTCTGGGCTCGCTTGTCGGTGATCCCGTCCTGGTGGCATACTCGTACAGGTGACAGGCACATTTGGCTGCATAGTCTCCAAGAGAAATACGGTATGATTGGATATTTCGTGTTCGTGGATCACTCGTTAATCGATAACAGGTCCCGAGTTTCGGTACCGCCCAGACAGCGTCGTATTAAACACGCCAACTGCGTTTAAGAAGATATTCGGACCGAAAGGCAACGTCAGGAAGAGTGACTACTACCGTGTTTGGCCACGCAATGTTCACTCGATCAACACTTGGAGCAGCACGGCTATTAGTGTTCATGCTCGCAAGCGCCGCGTGCTGAACTACGCATTTTCTGAGGCTGCTTTGCGTGATGCTGAAGTGTTTCTTCATTCGAATCTGGACCGATGGCTGGAGCTGATAGGACAACAAGCAACAAAGGATAGTGAATGGACGACACCTATCAACATATGTGACTGGATCAACTGGCTCGTCTTCGATATCCTTGGTGACCTGTGCTTTGGCAAGAACTTTAATATGAAGGAACCCGAAAGCGACCTTCGCCATATCCCAGAAATCATGGCCACATTTTTGGAAATTCTCCACTCAGTGAGTTTTTTTTTAACTCGATATCAGGCTTGAAACAGTACTAATCTATCAAAGACTGCCTTTAGCCCATTTGCGGATTTGTGGGTGTGGCTGAAGCCTCGAGGCCTTGATTGGC